TTCTTAATTTTCTCTATGCTACAATAAGTTACAGTATTTGAGTGCTTAGTTGTGCATGTTATAGATTCATGCATGATACAAACTATATACCAAATGCAGTGCTTTTTGATATGTAACCTCTTTACTATAACAGATGACTCTGGATGATTGGTTCATGTTCTTTTGCACTGTGCTTATTATAGAGATTGCTTACACAATCCTATTTATACCAGTGACAATTATGTACAGTTTGTTAGTTTTGTAAAACCGGTGTGCTTTAATTCTCACTCTTTGGAATGCTTCAACTACACACTGCATGTAAGCTAATCTTGCATTTTTCAAGGAAAAAATGACCTCCACCCTCCTCTTGGAATGTCATTTGACCCTAATCAAACCCACCATTTGTGTGGTTAATCCTCGTTTGAAACCAGCCTAATAATACTTTGCACAAATCTAAAAATTTTGAACTTGATTCTAAATTGCTCAGAATTCAGTTCTAAATTTGCTTGTTGACCACCTTGAGTTCCACTGATGTCATAGATCTGATTGCAAAATGGAAAATGTGCTAATCTTTCTGGTGTCCCAAGAAATTCCTTCTCTAACCACATACCTTTTCCCTTCTGATATGTGGTACTTTTCAATCTCACTAAAACTAACATTTTAAACATTCCCAACACAAGTTATACCATTATGTTTGAAATTTGTATACATATTGATATTCATCATGATAATGTTTTTAGTGTATGCCAGCAGCAAGGAAGGGGATCAGCACGTACCTACCATGGTGTCAGCAAGTCCAGTTCAAGCAGACAGTGTAGAGTCATCAATCTTATCAGAAAACTTGAAACCTATTACAGTATATAGTGGTAACATCAATCAAGATTTAGGAGATGCATGTGCCTGTCAAAATATTTTAATTAATGAAAAACAGGAAGAACTATCAGTGGAAGGACAGACGAGCACCTGGGCTGAGAAAGCACTAAGTGGAAAACCAGATAACCACATTGTATCCTTAGAGGATCAGGAGCCAAGCCCTCAATTAGTCAAGAGCCCGCTAAAGGACTTCTTTGACCGTCTGAATGAAGCTGAAAGCTCTAAAAGGACGAAACCTCAACAAGCATCCTGCAAATATGTAGTGGCATCAGAATGCCCTGGACAGGTGTTGTCCAGTTTACCAACTATTGTTGTAAGGCAGCCTGAGGATGATGAAATAAAATACCAGTCTCAACAAGCTGAATGTCAGTCTAAGAAAGGTGGAAATTTTACTGATGCTAACATCCCAAGGGAGTACAAAAGCCCTCTGAAAGATTTCTTTGAGTCCCTGAAAACTCGTAAAGAATTTCAGGAAAGCCTGCCAATAAAAAGGAGTGTATTGAGAGAATTTTTTGATTCTCTGAAGACCAAAAAGGAATTGCAAACAAATGAAAATACAAAGCCAATAAATCATGCGAGTATAGAACGTGGGGAAAGTATCTCGCACGACATCACACCAGTCTCTCTTGGTAAAGTGCAAAGAGAGCAAGATAAGGTATTAGCTGATAGTAGTTTCCATGTCCTTGCTTCACCTGGGAGTCAAAAATTTCCTGAAGGTAGTATTACATCATCCCCCAGAAAGGGTGGTAAATTGAAACGCAGTCGGCCAGTATCAGGCTCACCACCCCCTCATGATCCTCTTGAACAATTGAAAGCACAAGGCTCACAGCACAAGTTTCTGAAACTCAACTGTAAGAACTTGCACTTTGAAAAGGTGGTGCGCAAACCTTCATTACCTCCTCTTCCTGAACAGAACGAATTTGTTCCTACCCATGAAAAAAAATTAAGCTCTGAAGATTTTTCATTTACTCCACTCCCTTTTTTTGATATTAATAAAAATCTGAACAGCAATCATGTTTCTCGTGATCAGAGGGTGCCTTTAGTGAAAGCTCATTGCATCTTCATTGATGATGATGAAGAGCAAGAAGAATTATACAAATGCAGTATTTCTATGCCTTTAGAAAGTGAAGCTAAAGCAACTGTACCAAAGCAAATTTATTTGGAAGCAAATGAGGATTCCAGAAATCAAGTAATTTTTGAAATGCTTTCGGATGCGTTTTACAATATTAATGACTCTTCAGAGACCATTAAACAAAGTACAAAAGAATCAACTCCATCCAACAACACTCCAATAGTTGTGGATTGTGTCATGAAGAGTAGTTTTGGTCCTAAAGATGAAAGTATCTCTAATTCAGATAACACTGCTTCAGTATGTGGTGTTAGAAAAAATTCTGATACGGAAATGGAGGTTGAAAGTGTGTTTTCTCAAAGCTCTCCCACCCAGCAAGTGCCAGTCATAGCCATGCAAACTATAGCAAAAAGCCGATCGCCTACATTAGAAATGCTGCGGTCTGTAGGATTTGTTCGTGAATCAAAGCGTCGCTGGTCTGGGGAGGTTGACAGTGATGATGACCACTTTGTTAGGTCACCAAATAGAAATTCTTGGCATGGACCTTATAATCAACCAAGACCCATCCATTCAAACAAGAGTCCTAAACTGTCTATTTTCAAAGATCAAGACCCTGAAAAACCTGAACAATTAATTGTCAGAGCCGACAATTTGCATAAACCACCATTGACACATTCTAAAGTTAGTGCGACCTTGCAGTCATCGGATGAGCAGGAGGTGGGTTCCCAGCCCAGTTCTTTTAATCTTCAGCTTTCTCCAGCTGTTCAGTGTTGTCCTTGTAAGTCCACGCTGAGTGAAATGTGTCTTAAGTGGGGAATATGTGTGATGCTTTATGGTTTGACTCTTATTTTTGAAATTTTAACAATCTTAACTACTTGGCTGGGATTATTTGAGTATTTTTCTTAACAGGATGGTTTGGTTCTGCTAGACTGAAGGGTTTTCCCCTGTCTATGGTAAACTTTTAAGTATTTGATGCTAACAGTTAGGTCTGCAGATTTTGAGTTTAAAATATTTTGGGTGGCTATATGTTTGTTTATCCCCTCTAAAGAATGTGTTTGGAAAAGTGTTGCTTGCTGAATTTTATTTACCATCAAACAGTTTGGTTTCGCTAAAGTCTCTAGTGTTATGTGACTTGTTGGCTTTTCTTGTGTATTGGACTTGCTGGTCACCCTCTCTATGGTAACTGAGTTTTTTTTACACTAACAACTTTTATTATTTTTACAATCCTACGGTATTGTATTTTTGAATGAGGTTTACATTATCGACACATCTAATGTATTTTTCAAAATTTGACACTGGCGCGCGCGCGCGCGCACACACACAAACACATACTTTTTAAGTGTGAATCACTCAGTGACAACATTACTCATGTAACAGACACAAAGCTTTTGTGCCTATTTTGGTGGTGGTCACACAGCTAATTTGTCTGCATGTACAAGATCTTTACACCGTTTTTTTTTTTTTTAAAGCATGGTTTGTAATTTGTGTATTTGCTTCCTGCCAGAAAACTGAAATATTTAGATTCATATTTTTATGTTCATGTTTATGTTCAGCATTATTTCTTGTTATTATGTTTTGCACGATTTTGTGGCTAACATTAGTATTGTGTGGGTTATTTTTGGTGGTATAGCTGCCCAGAAATGTGGCTCGCCCCCACCTGCTCACCACCCGCCTGTGATGCTACGTTCAGTGTCCATGTCTGGTGCCATGTCATCCACCATTGGTGCCACTGTCGGTGACTCAGTGCTGAATGAAATAGCAACAGCCCGACGAAACAAACCTGGCATATCTCGTCAGGACTCAAGACTGTCTGTCAAGTCCCTTATAGAAAGCATTGAAAATGCTACAAAGCAGGCCAAGACTAGTAAGGGTATGTGTGTAACAATATTTGTGTCATTCATTTTCATTCATTTTAAGTCATCTGCATGATTACCTGTCTTACTTCTGGCATTTGAACTCAGTATCAGGTTTAGTTTTTCTATGTTGATTATAGTTGCCTTATTGTTGCAAATTTTACTATAATGTGAGCATGGATTCTATAAATCAAATTGGTTATGCATGAATTTATCGTAGTCACATGGAGTGGTATATTATTACATAAATTTCTGATCTTCATGTTGCATTGATAATTTAAAAAGTGTTTTAATTTCTACAAACGTGGTCTCATTATAACATGGTTTTTGTTTGTAGAATCACTTAAAATGAGTGGTAAATGTAGGGAGTTGTGACCATATTACATAATGTTTCATTACATATGTACCATTTATATATATTCTAATATCTCTGCTCTAATTTTTCTCCAGGGCCTGGTGGCAGCCGTAGTTCCTCAACTTCCAGTCTCAGCAGTATCGCCAGTGATGTGAGGGCAGCATCAGTAGCAGTTGGTGCAGCAAATTTGTCGCCATCGACTCCATCCTCCCCGTTACGACACCTCACGCTAGCTGACTCCGAGCCACTTTTTAAAGGGCCATTACGAGACCAGCAGTCCAATAACCAGAATAACAACAATCAACTTCACAATAATAACAATAACAATATGCACTCAAATAATCGACTTGTGCAGCAACAGTCTCGCAAGAATGTGCTCAGTGGTACGTATTTACCTGTAGTTTACCATTTCAATCATAGGTGTGCCAGGAGTGATTTTGCATGCACACAGTATTTGTGTAAGGAGCTGCATCATAGCAGTTTACAATGACACATCAGTTTATTTTATCATATTGAAGTCTTTAAGTTCCCTCTATGATTTTGTGCTGTAGTTCTGACACCTTGTACATCATACTTACATTTTGTTTTGGAAAAGAAAATTCAAATCAACATCAAGTATATTTGCACCTCGAATATAGTTTCTTTTGATTGTGAGTGTGATAGATTTGGACTGATTTCATAAAAAAATATTTTTTTGTAGTCCTGCACACTTATGTAGATTCCCTTAAAGTTCTATTTTGTGCATCTCTGTTTGGTTTCTAGTCTTTTGATGTGTTGCATTTCTTGCATGCCTGTACGCTTACAGATAATGGTAAAGCCAACAGTCTGGATAGTCTGAAGGCCAATTCAAAGGCTTGTGAAGATGTTACCCAAGTGTCACAACCACCCCTTGCACTAGCGAGTTTGGCCCATCACCCAGGCCTCACTACACCAGTCTCCATCCTAGCCAGCAAGAGTATGGATTATACAAGGCGCAACAGCTGTGGTGATTTAAGTATGTCTTATGTAGTTTATATTTGCTTCTGGATTGGTCTTTCTGCTGTGCATTTAGAAAATATTTTGTTCAATAATATTAGAAGTCTTTTTGTTCTCTCTAGAATCTCCAATAAAATTTTCTTCTTTGTTTGCAGGTGAGAGGAAAGATCCACTGGCACCCTTAGTGAAGAATGGTGGTTCTAAAAGAAATGCATTGTTAAAGTGGTGTCAAAATAAGTCAGTTGGTTATCGTAATATTGACATTACTAATTTCTCTAGTTCTTGGAATGATGGTTTAGCATTTTGTGCTATTCTCCATTCATACCTTCCTGATAGAGTACCTTATGATACTTTGACACCTAATGAGAAGCGACGTAACTTTACCATTGCATTCGCTGCTGCAGAGTCTGTTGGTATCCCTACAACTTTGGTGAGTTTTTGCTTTACCTTGTAGCTGCTTTATTATACACCTGTTTAGGTACCTTATATTTTTAATCTAATCCAATTTTTATTCCAGAATATCAATGACATGATTCAGTTAGAGAGACCTGATTGGCAACAAATCATGGCCTACGTTACAGCCATCTACATTCATTTTGAAACTTGAAAGTCATTTTAAAACTCAGCTTACATTTTATAGTACCCTGAAAATTTTGATGTTTGACAATTATTTTTATTTTTGTCAAATGACATGTGATGTTGATATTTTGAGGTTTTGATTAAGATTGATACCATAAGAACCTCGTTAAAATCCAAGTTATCAATTGAAGTTTTGTACTTGCTGCATCCTGCCACCATGCTGTGGCTGTAAAACCAAGCTAGTCAACCAAAAGATTGTCCTGTATTTAATAATATTAATTAACTATGTGAAGTAAAAAATATTGTTTTCAATTTTTATGTCAAGAAGTTAGTTCTTATAGACAATCATCATGTGAATATCTCTCTGTGTATCTATCTTTCTTTTATAATGCAAGAAGGTACTATCAGTTGCAATTTGTAACTTTTCCCTCCTTTTAGGCAGTTATTATTTTAGTCAGCTTTTAATATTTGCCAACTGTCAGCACCCGTGATATTGAAGTCAAGGTCTTCCCTAGCTTGCTGAAGGCTAAATGTTAGTTATTTCATAACTGACAGCTTTATTTTTTATTTTTATTGAACTTTTCCATGCAAGCAATCATAGTTTTAGCAGGTTTATCAACTGTTTTGAAGTATGGATGTTATTAATGGGACTGTATAAGTCTGAAATTGACTCTGTGCCTTCAGTATTGTATCCTTGCACCATTGCTTTGCCATCAGTATTTTAAATATGGAGATATTTATTTAAAAAAGATCCCATTCATCGAGTTAATTCTTTCAATATCTGGAAATGTGTTTGATCTTTGATTCAACATGCTTCTTCCGAGATGTCAAATGAAATTTGATGGCAACAGAAAAGAAATTTATCTTAAGTGGATTGTACTTAGACGCCTGGATTAGGCTATACAAAGGTTTGTGATGCATCTACAGTCGTAAAGTGAAGACAGCTTTGATAGTTCAGTAATAGACCTAGTCAAAACTGCGCTGCTACTTTTATAATTTTCTGTTCTATCTTGAGTGATACTAGGTCACATTTCTCCTTGCTTCCTGGATAAATTTGACCCTTCATGGAGACAAATGTCTGGTTTTAGGTATCACTGCTTGAATTTGGTATTTGTGTTTCCATCGGTTCCCATTTTTCTTTAAACTATATCGGCTTCAACCCTTCTGACTTGTGTCACATCATTCCAATGTGCTGTCACAAATTAGTGACACAGACTGATTTACTCTTTTCAACTGTAGTTTGTATTTGTTATTCTGTCCTGTATGTTAGGCAGGGATGAAAGATTGAGATTCTTGGCAGCTTTTTTTTATGTATTTTTCACTATTTGTAATACTCAAAACTTTTATGTATGCTTAAAATTTGCATATTTGACCCTTGAGTTGTTGTTTGTTTTGTTTGAAGTCAGATAATTCATTTATGTTTTCTTTGTCCTTAGTCTCTTTTATATTTATATACATATATTTCCACTTCTCTCATAAATGTAAAATACAAAAATTCTCTGGCAAAGAACTAGTGTGTGCCCTGATTGCATTTCCCCTAAACTGGACCGCTCAAGAATTCCCCGAGCCTGTGTCTTGCCCGATCTCGATGAAGAGGACGTGCTCTAGCTGCTGGCTCACTACAGTTTCCGCCAAAGAAGCACCGAACAGGAGGAAGAAGTGGAATACATGTTTCGACTGTAGGTCATGGCTGTAGTAGAAGAGCGACACGCGAGGTCGCCAAGTTCAACGTACCGAGTCGGAAGGGGAAGCTTTAAGGGGGTCTGTGGCTGCGGTAGCCTTAGGGCCTGAGGGAATGGCCGCGGTTGAACCCGACCCAAAACAGCTGTCTATGATTCATGCCCGTTCTGTTGTGCGGGGCGAGGGAGTGCCATTTCTCTCAAATCCGGGCTGCAGCCCCCGAGGCATCCTCGTCAGGAGCCCCACCAATAGAAATTTGTCACAAAACGTCAAAATTAAATATTTGTGATGAAACATGGACGTATTGAGGTCTAAAAACACGCCAGAATGATGCAAATTCACATAATTCCGACGTTTTGTGACGAATTTTTGTTGACGGGGAGGAAAGCTACAAACTTTTGTCTATGACGTCAAGCCGTGGGGCACTAGTCACGAATGAAATAATCGGCCTGACCCTTTGGCCTTTGACGTCTTGGCAACGCATGACATCAAGCGGAGCTCAGTCACAATACAAACCCTTTTTGGGGTTCTGACAGTGTTCGTTTCTCGACACCTCGGGTACTGAAGATCCTTTTGGTGGCAATGTTTGGCACCACGTATACTGGTTGTTAGACCAGTCAAGAGTGCGACAAAAACCCACCATCCTGACGACCCGGCTGTTTCTTTTTGCTTTCTTTTTTTTTTTCGTTCGCACGGGGAAGAGGAGTACTTTAGTAAACTCAACCGTACACTAATTTTTCTGGATTTTTCTGTTGTTTTTTTCTTTCTGATTTTTCCTTACTTTTTAAATTGATTTTCCTTGAGTTTTTTTTGATTTCTTACTGATATATGGATTTTTTTAAATTTTATTTATTTTTCGAGTGATGTACCCCTCGCACTGGGTTCGCCTTGTACGTACGCTCGCCAGCCAGGCCCGATCAGGCGACTAGCGACGAGCGCGGCGAGCGCGGCCCGCCCCAAGCTGCGCACGGGAGCCCAGCCGGGGTCGAGGACCTCTGCCACACCCCGGGCCACGGTGCATAATGACGCCCAGGGCTGCAGCTTTGGATTGTGCAGTGTGACGAGCACCGGCGGCGACTGGTCTGCAGAGAGCTGTGATGTGCCGGGTGAAAGGAAGAGACTCTTTTCGGGAGACACACACACAAAAAAAGGGGCTCTTAGCGGGTTCCAATTTAACTGTATCCTTGTCACTCTTCTTGTATGGGTGTTGTTCACGGTCAGCGAAATATTTCAAATAAGGGTTGTTCTATGGGAACGCCATGCGGCCATGGATGCAGCCGGGCGGCGCGAATACTGCCACTGCTTGCTTGCCCCTCCGGGGTCGTTGACCGCGACTACGTCTCTGCACGCTCACTTCGCTTGCGAAAACTCTCCCGATGGAAAGGGTTTTGTCAAAATGTCGTCATTTTGATGTCATTGTCAAGATTTGGTCGTTTTAGCAGCCCGTTTTGGTGTCATTTTGAGATCAGTGGATGTCATTTCGTCTCAAAATGGCCTCACAGGTCCACCGCGTAGATGAAAAAAAAAATCGTTCAAGGTGTTGGTCGGTGTGTCTCGGTACGAAGATTTTATAGTTCCAAACGATTTACAATTTTATCAAAATTACAGATGTCATTGGCCATTTTCTCTAAAAAATCGTCCGTATTTAGGGCACTCTATGTCACTTTGGCAACATTCTTTTCATTTGGGCCCCCAGCCCCCACCCCACAACACGCGTGTTTCTTGACGCAAGCTAACCATCATGTCCTCTCTTGTGTGATGGAATACGTTTGATGATGATGATGCACTCCCAGGCGCATTTGTAAAACGGGATCGTGGCAGTGAGCATCAACAGGTAGCAGTGCGTTGCATGTTGCATTACAAACGTATGTTCTGCCGAGAGTGTGCCTGGCGCAGGTGAGTGCATCGAGCAACGTGGATGTGACGTTTGTCACATTAGTTTTTCCAGTGTGAGGACACGCGGGTCTGCGGCGCTGTGTGGTTCCAATGATACCGCACGGCTCACAGACGTGCTTGACGGGCTTGCCTACTCGCCGGGCGGGCCCGGTTCCGAAGCTGAGACTTCTCGCGTCTCTGTGGAGGGTGGAAACTCAAATGGATCAATCTACGCTACCCATCATCCGTCACCTATCACCTGCGACTTCGTGTATTTACGCATGCAACTCGGGTTGTGGTTAAGACTTAGGATGTGTGTGTGAACAATAAATAAGACTATATATTGTATATGTAATTGTATTTGGCGATGTTTCGAGATGGGTAGCGTAGATTAGATGGCTCCATTGGAATTGCGCCAGAACGATTCAAGACCGATCCCAAAATGCGAAAAATTGGCGTTGTTACGATAACGATTATAAGCACGCTTTCGCTGTTTTAGCTAAAAACAGAGAATTTGGATCAAACATCAAAAAGGTTGCTACGCGTTTTTTTGTTTATTTTTAATATTGGTAGTTTCTGCAACTTTTTTTTTTTTTTTACTGCTGCACAGGGTGAGACAACACAAGACCCCGTAGAATTTTTCAGTTTTACTGTACCGAATGCAGGCGTGTGGTCGCGTTGCCTACTCGCAAGAGGCCTCTGGGCGCCGTGGTGAGAGAGGGTAATAGGCGCCGCGAGCCCGTCCGCCCGCAGGGCAGCATAAATGCGGTATATCTACGTAATTCTCCGGGGTCTGTGGGCCAGTCCGTCGTAGCCTTGACTGCCTTTCCATCGACGGTCGAACAGCAAAATAGTATTTTAATGATGGCACCTTCCTCCGTTTGGCTGAGCTTTTACCTTCCATCCCCAGCTGATGTGTCCCCGCGCCCGCGCCACCCCGCTCACGTACACTATTAGGTGCCACTAATGTATGTTAAACAATGACAATGCGGCCAATCGACTTCCTATTTGCGCCGCCGTCCCCCTCCCCCTCCCCCGCCCTCTCTCCCCGGCGGTCGCACCTGACCATGCGGCTCGCTGGGCCCTGGCCCGGGCCGCGTCCGAATCAACCGCTGCTCGTGCGTCGAGGGGTATTACATGCACAGAAATCAGAGTTCAGCCAACAAAAAAAAAAAAAGAAAAAGATAAAAAAGAGTAAAAAAAATGAGAGAAAAATCAAGAAAAAATCATTTAAAAAATCAAGGGACACTCAGAAAAGAATCAAGGAAACGTCAGAAAAAATCATGGGAAAATCGGAAAAAAAAGAAAGAAAAATAAGAAAAAAATCGGGTAAAAATATGATAAAACGTCTCAGAAAAAATCTGTATACTCTTGAATTTGGGGGGAAGTACCCCACGGGGCGTACCCCGACGCGGACGCGTCGCGTCTGTGGCGGGAGGACGCTTGTGATAGGCTGGGGCGGCGCAGGACGGTGTGAGACAGACAGAGAGAGAGAAAGAGACACACACACGCGGCGACGGCCGAGGTCTCGGCGGGGTGCACCGAGTTCACCTTGCCTGGCCTCGGGGAGGGGGCCCCGGCGGGGGAGGACGCCCGAGGACATATAACGAACCCGCGGGTCGGGACGAGCCGCAGTGGTGAACCGATCGTGGAAGTGAGATCAGAGGCCCGGCCACTTCCACCACGAGCACCACGTCACCTCGAGCCACTCGCCACCACCAGTATTCTCACCACCTCGTCGAGCACCTGCGCGAGCAGGTAAGGACCGCCAGCATCACGGACTATATGGACCCGCGCGCCGACTCGTCCCACTTGGATTTACTCTCGCGGGTGCATGTGTGTGAGTGCGGGCGTGCGGGCGTGCGCATGCCTGCGAGGCCTCAGCCTAGCAGTGCCTGCATTGAGAAGATTAACAAGAAAAATGCGCCCTAAACTTCGCAGATATTACGTGGGTAGTCACTCCCCAACTTTCAGTTTGCTGTAAAACTGTCTAGTTTAGAAGCAGGCCCCAAAGGTGTAACAGGTGTAACGTTTTTTTTAAAAAAATGTGGGAGTTTTGGCTTCCGCCTCGATCAAACCATAACAGTTCTAGAACTTGTGAAGATGTAATGTGTGGGTTGAACCCCTTCCTGTTTCCCTGTTTACCTTCTTTGACGTGTTGCGCATTCTGAGTGGGTGCGGGGGAATTTCTCAGAACGTGTACGAACTCCTGCGAAGCCTCGTGTTCATATGGTAATAATTAATTATCAATGCAAATGTTTAGGGTTGCTTCTGTTTGCTACGGCTACCTGAACAAATCCCTTCCGTCTCATGGTCAGTTATTAGCGTGCCCATTGTTTGTCGCAACGGACTTAACTGGGATCTTTTGCATAATTAATTGTCATCCATTACTATCTGATAGGAAGCAAAACACTAGAGCACGCGAAGAAATCTCCTCTGCAAAATGAACGGGCTCACTGTAGGTGACTACTACTACTGTATTTTAGGTTCGGACTGAGGTATCATGCTTGTCATGCTGGCCACTTGGCCAGTGTGGGTCTTCCACACTTCCGCACCCCCTCCCCCCTCCCCTCTCCTTTCCCCGGGCTCTGGCCGAATCTAAAGCGCCTGCGCGCGCACTTAGAATGCAGGGAAGCGCCTCCCCAATTTGCAATTAACATGAATATGTCTTGTAAAACAAAGCCGATTGTCTTGCGATGAGCCGTTGCACGTCCTCGGTGTGCTCCCTGACCCAAAGGTACCCCCCCCCCCTAC